TGGGTTGGTTTTTTTTTTTTTTTTTTTTGTTCTATTTGAGTTGAGTTGAATTTTTTTTGTTCTATTTACATTTTTTTTAGTCAAATCGACTGACTAACCCGAATTAGGGTTATAACACAATCCACCCCTACCCTACTTTTAAAATTATTATGAAAATTAAAAAATATTTAATGATGGGTTACGTTCGATATTTGAGTTTTATGAGATTTTAATTGCTAATATAATATGCGTGGATAAATAATATTTTTTAAAAATAATTAAATATAAAAAACAAATCGACAAATTTAATTATTTAATATAAAAACATGGGATTGAGAATAATGAATGAAAAAAAATGCTAAAAAGGGAAGCATATTGTAATGAGAATAATGAGTTCGCTTATGTTTTATTATTATGATGACGAGGCAGTCCAATCAAACCAACCACTAACTCTGCCACTCATCATGCATCACATGCCCGCCATCATTTTTAACTATGGTAGAGTTCAATTTTAACCTTTACCCGACACATCATCTCGACTATCTCCATTATTTTCTTAATTATGTGTGTCGGTGAGTTAATATCCTGTATTTGACTAGTTACATTAGTTGACCTTATTATTATTAAAAAAATATCAAACGATGAGTTTGGATTGTTACAAATGGTATAGACTAGACTTGAGCGATGTGTCAGCGAGGATGTTGGACCCATAAGGGAGTTGATTGTGAGATCTCACATCGATTGGAGAGGGTAACGAATCATTCCTTATAAGAGTGTGGAAACCTCTCTCTAGTAGACGTACCTTAAAATCGTGAGGTTGATGACAATATGTAATGGGGCAAAAGTGGACAATATCTGCTAGTGGTGGGTTTGACCTATTACAAATGATATTAGAACTAGACATCGAACGGTTTGCCAACGAAATCGCTGGGCAATAAAGAATGGATTTTGAGATCGCACGTCAATTCCCAATGGCTCAGATTATTATTATTACTATTTTAAATTAAAAAAAGATAATTAAGTTACTTTAATTAATAAATAAAGTGGTTGCCAAAAAGAAGAAAAGACTAACAAAAGTGCAAAAGTAATATATATCAAGATTGTTTGCTACCAAACTAAAATTATCTTCGAATTTTTTAAATTACTAAACTTATTTTTAATACGAAAATATTTTAAAATATATATACTAGTTTTAATCATTCTCGTTTATATTTTATATATGTTTTCGTAATCTAACGAACGTGAGACTTTGTTTGCACCTCTAACTAACAAATGAAGCTTTCTCTAATCAAGGCTCGGAAAAAAAAATTTAGATCAAACAGAACCATGGATTTCTGGTGTAGATACTCGGTATTGACCACCACCTCCTTTCGATCATCCTCGTGTTAATCTATCTAACATGATAGAGCATTCTTTCGACCTTTTGTTAATCTACTTGACCCTATAAGATTTTACTTAAAAAAATAATAATAATAATAAAAAAAGGGAGCTTGAAATTCAAGTAATTGGTGGCTTTAATTTTAAGATTATAGTTCGGGAAATTATGGGCGGATGTGTTTGGATATGGCTCATGTGGGTTCCCATTTCATTCCTTTAATTATTATAATCAAAATTATTCGAACTTTTTATTTTATTTCAAAAATATTTTTAAACTTAAATAAATAAGCTTTTAACCATTTTATACAAAGCTAACGGTGTGAGTGTTTTTTTTTTCTTTTTTTTTTTTTTAATTTAAAGATATTATTGAATTTTATTTAAAGATTAAAAGGGTCTCAATAAAAGACCAAAATCTTATCTATAAAAAGGTCAAAATCAGAAAGAGAAGTTAGAGACGGAACCGAATACAGCCGTTAAAGTTCCGTTCCCCCGTGACTTTTTTTTTTATTTAATAATTATAATTTTTATTCGCATTTAATATTTATTACAATTAAATTACAGCCGACAAATTTTGGTTTTTAGTTGAACTGGCGATTTGACTGCCAGTCTCCAAGGATTGGTCGTATTATTTTTAAATAATAATAACAAAAGGAATGCATTCACATAGTTATATATGGTGTACACATGTCGGGTAGGAGAAATTTTTTGGACCAACGAACCAAAAATTTCGAGTCGGTTAAGTTGTTGATATAAGTAACCTCAAATGGTTTCATAATCCAACATTCTATTTTTCGGGTTGGGTTGGTTGATCTATCGGGTTAAAAAGAAAGGTTTAGATTAGTTACTTTTTTATTATTTGGTTGGGAATGCAACTAAGAGGGGGAGGAAGAGCAATGTGCTAACGAGGAAGATAGGGAGCATCGTAACATGGGATTGCGAGCCAAGTGTTACAATCCCACTCTTGCAACAGTGGGATAACGAGATAACGATTGTGCGACATTTGTTTTAACCCAGCAAAATTGACTTCACAGATAATATCGGTGTATGATCGAGCATCGAGTCACGTTTGCGAAAAATGGTTTAGAAAACGCGAGTGCGTAAATACATTTGAAAGAATGGTGAAAACAACGTTATATGGCTATAAGCAAAAAAAGAAACATCGTGATTTAAGTAACATATAATTCAGGGTATGAAGAAGTGACGAGTGTAGACATGATTTTGGTGAACGGTTAAACACCCCCGTATTGACACACCATGAAAAAATAAAAGTTTACCTAAAATGAAAGCATGTAAAAGGGGTTTGGAACGAGCATGCGACCATGCATAACACAGACATCCGACATGCGGCCATAGACAATAAGCTTTAAACAAACATAATCATGACACCGAACAACCTACGTTTGTGGGTGGAATAGGCATGACAACGTGGGCATGGGTGTGCGAAGCAGTGGTGCTTGGACAACACAGGTTTGGTTGTAATGCTAAAAAAAAAAAAAAAAAAAACC